GTGTTACAAACTCCATCTCCTCTACCATATGTCTCCCAGCATACTCAACAAATGTGAATAAAATCCAAGTCTTGCTTACCAACAAAACTAGCTTGGATCACGAACTTATTTAAATCATCCCATTCACTTCCAACTCCACTTGAGTTGCCAAATCTGCTCAAATTACCACTGGCCACATGATCATTAAGAGATCACAACTAACTCTACTTGAACTAGTGGAATGTTCTACAATACCATTGCTTGAATTACCACGAGCAACATTATCACAACCAACTCTAACTAAGTCATCGCTTATCAAACCATAAGCTGCAACTGCATCCAAATTAATCATCGAACCTTCCATATAATCAGAACTTTTTTTGTCCCTTCAGCACAACTCTAAAATCCTTGCTAACTTTCAAAACTCTACTTTTACTGATATACTTGTTCTATTTTGAATTGAGAGTATTTAAGGAAATAATATTTCTGTTCAAAGTGGGAACATATCTTACTTTACAAAGTGTCTTGACCTTCCCTTCAAACATCTTAATTATGACATTAGCAATGCAGCTATCTTACAAGATGAATTATTTCTCGTTATCATGGAACCCCTTGTAACATCTTCATATGTTGAAAACCAATGCCTATTGGACACACATAAAGTTGAAAGTCGTATCAAGAATTCAATTATGGTCAGGTTTGGAGTCACCGTTAGATTTCACTAAAAGATATCAATCATTGCAGTCTTCTTCTATAAGACGAGTTTCACCGAAATTACCAAGTTGTCCCTTTTGATATGTAGCAGCTAAATTATTCCAGTTTTGCCATTTCGGACAATCTTTCTGCATGTGCTCCTTCTTTTCGCAGAAATAACAGACTAATCACTGTCATTAGTCTTTGACCTACCCCTTCCACGACCACTCAAAATCCCTCTCATAAACAACATGACCATCTACCTAGGCATTTGATCTGACGACCAGCTACTTCATCTTCTCTCTAGAATAAAGCACTTATAAACCTCATCAATGGTCAGAGTATCTCAACTATACAAGATGGTGCCCCCTGAATGTCATGTAAGAGGTGGGCAACAAACATAGAAAATTCAACCTTAAGTCATCTTCATCGTACTTAACTTTCATTGTCTCCAAATTAGCTACAATGTCCTTGAATGTAGATAGATGGTCTTCCAAATATCAACCTTTTGTCGTGTACCGAGAATATAAGTGTTGCTTTAGATGCAATTTGTTGGTTAGACTCCGAGTCATGCATAACTGCTCTAATTTCAACCATAATGCAGCTGCAATTTTCATCTTTATCATGTAGTGAAGAATTTGATTTTAAAGATGGAAATGTATCTGTAATAGAGCATTCTAATCCTTTCCTTGTTTCTCCTCTAATGTCAAAGTTGTAGGCATTCTATCAAGCCCCAACAAAGAATCATCCAAATCCATTTGGGCGAGCATTGATTGCATCTTGATCTGCCACAAAGAAAATCTGGTGCTGCGATCCAAAAGCCGAATTTCAAACTTCATACTTGCCATCCCCAAACAATTAAACCTTGTCGAACCAACCTTGCTTTAATACAAGACAAAATTGGCTCTCCCAAGAACTAACAAATCCTTGGGTTTTGACACCACTTGTTGTAAAACAAGCCTATTTATAGAACTTATATCAATTGGTAAGAATATTAAAGTCACGAAAATATGACAAGATGAAAAAAATCACACAAGAACACAAGATTTAACGCGAAAACCAAATTTAGGAATACCACTGGTAGGTGTAAAAGAATTCACTATGATTAATAACAAAGTACAAAAGGGTCTCGCAAGACTCTCAACCTATCTCAAAATTTGCGAGTCTCTCTCTGTAATATAGATCATCTCATTTTGATGTTCTCTCAATTCTATACAATGTTTTGCTATGTTCTAGCCTTTGAAGTGCCTAAACCATGTGGAGTATATATAGCCCAATTTTGGTGTTTTGAATAAAGTAGAAGCAAGAATCCTGATATAAAAAAAAATAAAAAAATTAATGAGGCTATTTTCCCACACTGGTGGCATCCCAAATCCCCTTGGGACGGGGATGTCAACTCCCTATTCAGTCTCCTGCTTCTCGCAATTAGGCGTCGGATCGCCTCGACTTCGGCCACAACGCCTTCCAAAGGTTTTTTCTTCATTTCAAAGTCCTTTCAATCAAATTTCCAATCCTTGATGAAGTTTGATCCCTCTTCAGACCGGGCTTTGAAATAAAAAATTTTATGTCTCATTTATCAATCAAACAACACAAACCTATCCAAATAGTAATTTTGGTCGTATTCTAGCACAAACATCCTTGGTAGATCAGGCAGGATTTTGTAAGATAAATGATCTCTTCTAAATTATCATTGTAATAAAAAACTGGTAAAGTACGTATTTGTTCTATTTTACACAATGTCAATTTCTATCAAGTATTGATGTCTTGGAATATCATAAAGTGTTTGCTGAATCAATTACTCAATATTTTTAATGTTCAATATTATACACGCATGTGTACCGTACCTGGAGTACACTTGTTAATATATCCAAACTTGAGAAATATCATCTCCAGTTTTCGTATGTATTAAAGGCTTCTCTGAAATACATATCTGATGCACTAGGTTACGAGTATAGATGATAATAAAGATAATAAATTTATTATTAAATAAATTTTTGCGAATCGCCCCAAGTTTATCTCAGAGTTGATGCTATGTGTTAAAAGTAGTGAACATGATGACTAACCATATTAAGAGATTGGCATGATATTTGTATAATATTGGTATTGATATTAACTGCCTTATTGAGCACTCACTATGATACCAGCTTGGCTATATGATTTGTATTGATATTAGTTGCCTTATTTAGGGCAGGTCACGAATTGTAAGACTAGGTGTAAGGAAAATTCTGTCAAAAATCCATGTATATATGGATGATGCCTTTGTGATAATATACATACAGAAGCATTATATTCTTCTTCTTCTCCAAATTTGACATGGTATAAGAGCCATCATCCCAGGTTTCACGAGGTGCCTTTCTTCTTGGCACAGAAAGGGACACCGTGCGGCAGTAGTTTGCTCCGCTAGACTACCTTCCGCCTTTTCTCGGTCGCGTCGGGACGAAAGAAAATTTGATTACAATTTTGTAGAAAGCTTACAATAAAGAATTTGAATACATTGAAAGTAAATTGAATATTGATTGATGAAAACTGAATATTACAATTGATGAAAGCAGAAAATTACAATTACTGGTGCAGGGGGCGGACACCAGTGAGTTTGAAAGATTTTTGAATGACTAATACCCCCTATAATAACATTCTGAACAAAAACCTAAGTGACGGGAGTAAACTTTTAAAAAATGAGGAATCATACTAAAAGTTTACCAATATCAGAGCTATTTTAGGACTGAAATAACTATTACAATGAAAAGAAAATTACAACTCAAACTTGAAGTAATATTTATAATGTGCTGTCGAAGTTGGGCAAACTGCGACTGCGATAGTGTCAAGGGGCTAAGTAAAGCTGCGGTTCTTGACGTTCTCCCCATTTGTTTTGGCGACGTCCTCGGTGCCATCAATGCATGATATGCTTCAATTAATGGTTTGAAGGCTCCGAGATCTTTTTCTCTTTCCCAAGTATTCTCCTCGCTGCTGCATCCCATCCATTTGACCAAGTACTCATGATGATCTTTTCTAGAAGCTCGAGTGATTCGATGGTCAAGAATAGATTCAGCAACCTTCTTTCCAGCTTTCTTCAGTTCAAACACAGGTCGCTTTGGCTCATTTCTAGATGCGTCCTCCTTATCTGCAAAGTATGGCTTCTACACACTAACATGAAGGACCTTGTGGATTTTACACCATGAAGGGAGTTCAACTCTGTGTGCAACTCTTCCAATCCTCTTCACGATGGGTAATGGTCCAATGTATTTTGGTGATAATCTTAAGTCCTTCCCTTTTATTGGCTTGTAAACATTTCTGTCGGGAAGTTTAACCATTACCAGATCTCCAACATTGAATTCAATAAAATTGCGCTTTAGATCTGCAACCTTTTTGTACCGTTTTTTAGCTTTCTCAAGATAATTCCGAGCAATTTCAATATTTCGTTTCCATTCTTGAGAAAAGTTCTTTGCTTGAGGGGACTTGGTAATTCGTTCGATATCCACTGTATGAGGGAGTAGCAGTTACTGGCTAGTAACAATCTCAAAAGGACTCTTATTGGTAGAAGAGCTCTTTTGGGCATTGAAACAAATTTTGGCCGCATCCAAAAGTTTTACCCAATTTTTCTGCGAAATAGAGATAAAGTGCCAAAAATATTCTTCTAGCATAGAATTGAAGCGCTCCGTCTGTCCGTTAGATTGTGGGTGAAAGTTAGAACTCATGCTCAAAGTTGAACCAAGAAGTTGAACAACTCAGTCTAAAATATCCCAATGAAATGAGGATCTCGATCACTGACGATGTCCTTAAGCAACCCCCAGTATTTGACAATATGTTTGAAGAAGAGTTGAGCTGTCTCTTCCGCAAATACATACTTAGGTGTTGAAATAAAAGTTGCATATTTTGATAGATGGTCAACCACGACAATGATAGTGCCAAAATTCTCAACTTTTGGCAACCCAATAATGTAGTCTATCGATACACTTTCGAATGGTCGGGTTGGGACGGAAAGGGGCTCCAGTAAGCCCGTCTTTTTTTGATGATCTATCTTATCTTGCTGACAAATAAGATAGATTTTTACATATGTTGCAATGTCATCCCGTATTTGAGGTCAGTAGTATGCACGTTGTAGTAATGCACAAGTGCGTTCCTCTCCGGGATGCCCTACCCAAATTGTGTCATGGCATTCCGTAATTAGTGATTTCCTCAGATCTTCTCCCTTAGGAACATATAGGCGGTCTCCCTTTGTCTTCACTAGTTCCCCATCGAGCCAGAACTGTCGAGTTTTACCCTGTTTGATGAGGTCGACCAAATATTGGGTAGTCGGGCCCTTCTCCATAAGTGTCCAAATTTGGTCTCTAGTATTCGTGGAGACTGCGCTCCCTGAAAGAGCAGCTACAGAGCAGATGGCAGCTAAATCGGCTTATCGACTAAGAGCATCAGCAACATGATTACTAGAGTCGGGACAATACTCTAACATAAAATTAAACTCTGAAAGGAATTCCTGCCAACAAGCCTGTTAGCTCGATAGTTTTGGTTGGGACATGAAGTGACTAACTGCAGTGTTATCGGTCTTCACAATAAATGGAGACCCAAGCAGATAGTGACGCCATCCTCTGAGATAATAGACTACTGCTAACAATTCCTTTTCATGTGCCGAGTAACGACGTTCTGTCTGGTTTAACTTTCGGCTCTCATATGCTACCGGTGTCCTTCTTGCAAGATGACTCCACCAAGGGCAAAATCTGAAGCATCTGTATGAACTTCAAATGGTTTAGCCATATTCGATAAGGCGAAAACTAGGTTCGTCCATATGGACTTCTTCAACCTTTCAAAAGCAGCTTGGCATTGGGATGACCAATCCCAATCCTTATCCTTCTCTGTCAATTCAGTAAGTGGCAGTGCAATTTCTGAGCAGGCTTTTACAAATCTTCGATAGTAATTGCATAACCCAAGAAATGAACGTACATCATGTACGGTTTTTGGTGGTTGCCAATCTTTGATGGCTGTAACCTTCTTCGAATCCATGCGGATTTTACATTGTTCAATGATGTGACCCAAGAAACTAATAGATGTCTGAGCAAACGAGCATTTAGATGGCTTAGCATAAAGTTCATTCTCCCGTAGCCGATTAAAAACTTACCTCACATGCGGACATGTTCCTTCAATGTCTCGCTGTAAATTACTATATAACCAAGTACACCACAACAAAATCATCTAAGAACCCGTGAAGTACCTGATTCATCATAGTACAAAATGTTGGTGGAACGTTTGTCAAACCAAAAGGCATCACCTTAAATTCAAAGGCTCCATATCTGGTTACCACCGTAGTCTTTGCTTCGTCTCTCTCCTTGATCCGAACTTGCTAGTATCCGGACCTAAGATCAATTTTTGTGTAATATTTCGCCCAACTCAGTCGATTGAAGCAATCCGCAACCAGTGGGATAGGATAGCTATTCTTTACAGTAATCTTGTTCAAGGCTCGATAGTCGCAACACATCCTAAGAGAACCATCAGCCTTTTTCGGAAACAATACAGGAGCTCCGTATGGCGACTTCGCAGGCACAATGATTCCACTCTCCAACATTTTCCCCAGTTGCTTCCCAAGCTCTTCAAGCTCAGGCTGAGACATACGGTATGGTGCCCTGGCGGGAGCTTTGGCGCCTGGAATAAGTTCAATCTCATGATCAATCGTTCTTCTTGGTGGTAATTTTTTTGGTAATTCTTTCATCATGATGTCCTCAAATTCCCGAATAAGCCTTTTAACGGGTTTTGGAATAGGACCATTCGCCTCTTCGATCTCCTCTAATCGAAGAGTGCACAAAAAAATGGTTCATTTCTCTTGAAAACTTTACTAAATTACATGGTTGAGATACTCTTCTCGCCCATCCTCCCAACTTGTGTAGGGATGACACACAGCTTAATACCCATCATCATTAACGAATCGAAATATGGTAACACTGCTGTCTTGGTATCCTGAAGAAATTTCAATCCTAGAATAAGCTTGAAATCATCCATTTGAACTGCAGATAAATTTGTCCTTCCCTCGAAAGGACCTGCTTTGATCAACACCGATTTCGCCACTCCAGCTATTGGTTGAGCAACGGAGTTGATTGCTTTGACTTTTTCACTACCCTTTTCTAGAACAAGTCTGAGCTGCTCTACTTCGGTACATGCAAGGTAGTTGTGGGTAGCACCAGTATCCACCATAGCCCTGATTGGCTTCCCATTGATTTTTACATCAATGTACATTAAGCCTTTGGTGCTACAAATTCGAGCCTTCGCTTCTTCCATCTTTGCCTCTTTCAATGGAACATCGTCCTTTTTAGCAACCCGATGCGACAGTGTGTTGCACCGATGTGAAAATGCCACAACTACGTCCTCATCCTCTTCAAAGTCAGACTCACTATGACAATTAGTCTGTGGGGCCTCTTGCTTTGAACTTGACCCGCCACTTGCTAACTGACAATATGCATTCACCATCTACTTCTGAGGACACTCCGACACCTGATGAGGTCCTTCACATAAAAAGCACTTCAATTTGGGAGTGGCATCAGTTTGGCCCTCCGTTGCTTTTCCTTCATTCCAGTTGTTACTGTTACTGCCGTTAAAATTTCCTTGACGGCTGTTATGATAGTTTCCTTGAAAGCCACGATTCTAAGAGTAACGCTCTCCCCCATTTGGGTTCGAGCTGGGTCTGTAAGATCTGTTACCACCTCCAATTGCTTGATTACTCCCCGAAGGTCAATCTTTTCTAGATTCTATTTGGTAGTCGCTCAAGCATTCAGCGGCTCCCATGGCCGTGCTCAAATCAGTAACCCTCTGTCTTTGAAGTTTCGTGCGTGTCCACAGTTTCAACCCTTCCATAAAGGTGAAGAGCTTATCCTTTTTCGACATATCTCGAATATTCAGCATATGCCTTGAGAAGGATTTTACATACTCCCTGATAGAGCTCGTGTGTTTCAGGTCTCGAAGTGCCCGTCGAGCCTGATATTCGACATTTTTCGGGAAAAACTGCGATCTGATTGCTTCCTTGAGGGGATTCCAAGAATCAATTCAAATCCTGTGGGCCTGAATGTCAGCATATTTGGTTCACCACCATAGTTTTGCATCTCCACCCAAATACATGGTAGTTGTGGTTACTTTTCTAGCTTCATCTTCGTTCAAAGCTGCTAGAAAGTACTGTTCCATATCAAACAAGAAGTTTTCGACCTCTTTTGCATCACGTGCCCCTCTGTAGGTACACGGTTCAAGAATTCTGAGTCTAGGAGCATACTCGGGTACGGGAGCTTGCCCATTGCCCACCGCACGTTGGAGTACCCACAATTGAGCTCTCAACGCTTCCATTTCATCCTGCAGATCAGGAATGATTGCAGCAGCTTCAGTTATTGCTGCGCAAGCTCTTTGGCTTTCATCCAATTGGATGTGTAATCCACGAATCTCAGATTCGGCCATCTTGACTTTTTCCTCGAGACCTTCCACAGCATAGCACAACCTAGTAGTTGTCTCATCAAGCGCATCCACGCGCTGTTTCGTAGTACCCTTCTTTTGAGGCTCTACCACTTCAGTGGTGTGGGATGTAATTAGATCCATAGCTTTCTTATCGAGGGTCGTGAGCCGCAGCTCTGATACCAACTTTCACGGGGTGCCTTTCTTCTTGGCACAGAAAGGGACACCGTGCGACAGTAGTCTGCTCCGCTAGACTACCTTCCGCCTTTTCTCGATCGCGTCGAGACGAAAGAAGATTTGATTACAATTTTGTAGAAAGCTTACAGCAAAGAATTTGAATACATTGAAAGTAAATTGAACATTGATTGATGAAAACTGAACATTACAATTGATGAAAGCAGAAAATTACAATTGCTGGTACAAGGAGCGGACACTAGTGAGCTTGAAAGATTTTTAAATGACTAATACCCCATATAATAGCATTTTGAGCAAAAACCTAAGTGACGGGAGTAGAAGTTTAAAAGATGAGGAATCATACTAAACGTTTACTAATATCAGAGTTATTTTACAACTGAAATAACTATTACAATGAGAAGAAAATTACAACTCAAACTCGAAGTAATATTTACAATGTGCGGACGAAGTTGGACAAACTGCGACTGCGATAGTGTCAAGGGACTAAGTAAAGTTACGGTCCTTGACACCAGGGCTTGTTTTTGTTCAACTAAACTATCATCATGGCAGAAGAAGGGCAAATAAATTCAACAGACAACCAAGGATCGTAATTGTTGGACACATCAAATCCGTATTATATAATTCCTCAGATCACCCTTATCACATGTTGGTCCCAATAAAATTGAGCGGTACCAATTATCAATCATGGAGTAAATTAATTATCCATGCTCTCACAGCCAAAACAAAATTGGCTTCATCAATGGTTCTATTGAACCCCCTTCAGAGAAGGAAAGCCTAACAGAGTTTGCATGTTAGAATCAATGTAATAGTATGATCTTGTCATGGCTAACTCAAACCACTCGTCAAGTTTGGGAAGATTTCGAGGATCAATTTTCTCAAAAAAATGCACCGGCAATTTATCAGATCAGAAAATCATTAGCCTCCCTCACACAAGGGAGCATGACAGTGTCTGCTTACTTCACAAAACTCAAGGGACTTTGGGACGAGTTAGAGGATATCGAACCACCCCTTCTTGCAGTTAGATAAGGCCCATAATGATCAAAGAGGAGGATCGGTTGATGCAGTTTCTTATGGGTCTCAATGATGTCCACAACATCATTCGTACTAATATTCTCAAGATAGCACCAATGCCCAATGTCCGCCAGGCCTATTCCCTTGCCATCCAGGATGAAACTTAGCGACTTATGGCTTCGGGTCTATCGAAAAATTTTCCATTGCATCTACAGTCCAGAATTGCCACTACAACTCTTTCGACAAAGCTAAACATTGTAATCATTGCAGGATGGTCATAAAATTGAGGAATGTCAGAATTTGAAATTACATTGCAAGTTCTGTGACAAAAGGGCCATACCGATGGTAGGTGCAGATTCAAAAATGGGAGTCAATGCAATTAGGGGCAACAACAGCAGTGTAGATCCCGTACCTTTCATGCAGCCAATACAACGGATACTTCACAATCCGCATATGGGTTAGGTTCCGAATAAAGCAACTCATTGAATTCTACAAATGGACTTTGCGCTGATCAGCTACAACAAATTACTCATGCCTATCTTTGATGAAACTAAATAATGACACAGGTCTGTTTTCTTCTTTTAATGCCATTAATTCTAGTTTCACTAAGCCTTGGATCTTGGATGCAGTGCAACAGACCATATCATCACAGATTCTATCATTTTCACCTATATGAAAACGTCACCAGCGCCCACAGGATTTTCGGCCCCAAAACCTCCACTGGAAACTTGCCATTTAACGCTAATTGTCTAATATCACGTTACATGATATTTTGAGCATCCTATCTTTTCATTTGAATTTAATTTCCATTAGTAAGCTCACCACTCCTCTAAATTGTTGTGCCATTCTTTTCCCAACTTTTGTGTCTTGCAGGACTTGGCTATGGGAAAGATGAATGGGTTGGGTAAGTAGCGTGGTGGTCTTGATTACATGTCGCCATTGCAAAGGACTCCTACATCTCATTAAGTATCCCAGCTTTCCAATTTATGGCATACGCACCTTGGTCATCCATCGTCGGCTTCTCTCAAACTAGTGTCTTCATCTTTACAGGTTAATACAATTTCGTTCTATAACAATTGTATTGTTTGCCCTGTGGCCATGTTGGAAGAATTTTGTGAATAGAGACGTCAAAAATAAGTATAAAGATAGGGACAAAGCCGAGGCAAGAGTTGGACTCTTTGTCCTTAAGTCGAATTTGCCCCGCAACGGTGCCTACGGATTTCGGCAATCGACTCCCAAGATACAACGGCTACACTTGTGTTTGTAGCACTCCAAAACACAAGTACAACGAACCAAATTTAGGTTTATGTACTCCAATGATGAAATGAAAGAAAATCAAAATAAATGAATGATTTTGATTTTGGATAGAAGAGAGGATGAGAGACGTTTTGCATATCAAACTGTGAGGAATAGGACACCCAAAGGGTCCTATTTATAGACCATGAAAGGGTGTGGACGAAATGGTTGGGGCCAAACCATGCACCCTTTCCAAACAATGCACCA